CCTGCGCTTCCTGCTCCGGCACACCAACCAGCAGGACCTGGTGGGCGCCGCCCCGCCCCGCCCGCGGCCCCACCTCTTCTGCTTGACGGTGATGCCCTTCTGCTTCAGCGCCTTCTCGTTGGCCATCTGCAGGAGCTGGATCTCCTTGCGGGAGAAGAGGCGGATGGCGAAGGCCTTCTCCAGCAGCTTCTCGGGCGACGCGGTCCTGGCCATGTCCCTCACGAAGGCGCGGATGTCCTGCCGCACGCTGTCCGCCCCCGGGGGCTGTCCAGCCCGCGCCTTGTGGAAGAACTTGAGGATGGCCAGGGCCACGCGGTACAGCACCTTGTAGCCCTCCACCAGGAAGACGTCGAAGACGCGGGCGAGGTGGCCGAGCGGCAGCTCCCCGAAGAGCCAGCGCTGCCAGTCGGCGTACACCTGCAGCACGTCCTCGGCCGCGGCCACCAGCAGCCGGTGCGCCGCCTGGCAGTGCTTGTTCGCCAGGTCCCCGAAGGTCATGCAGGAGGACTCGAAGGCCAGGAAGCTCTGGTCCACCAGCTTGCGGCCGGGGTCGGTGCAGGCCAGCATGCGGCAGGCCTTCTCGAAGCACTCGGCCTCGTCGATGCTGTAGTGCAGCAGCAGGGCCACCACGGCGGGCAGCGCGGGGCAGAAGGACACGTCGGGGAACTGGTGGGCGATGCACAGCAGGATCTTGCGCACGGCGCCCTCGCCCCGCGCGTTCAGGCAGTAGCTGGGCACCTGCGTGCTGTCCACGAACTCGGGCAGGGGCAGGCTGCCGCCGCTGTGCTTGCCCACGATCTTGCCCACGATGTCGCTGTACACGCTGGCGTCGGGCGTGACCGTGCGGCAGGGGATGTCCCGGATCAGCCGCTGGTACACCTGGCCGCGCAGGGCGTGGCTGTGGGCCCAGTGGCCCTGGCGGGCCAGCTGCTTCAGCTCCTGCGGCTCCGTGCAGCTCAGCTCCTTGGGGCCCAGGTCCTGGATGGCCGCGTCCATCTTGTCTCTGTCCACGAAGCAGTTGTAGGCCGGGGAGTCCATGGTGGGGCGCCCAGAAGAGGCGGGCCGGGGCGGCCGCGCAGCCGAGCCCTCAGGCCCCACGGGGCGGCTCTGCAGACCTGCCCATCTGCCCCGGCCACGCAGGAGAAGGCCCGAGGCCTCTCTCGGCCCCGGGCAGCGAGGGCGGGACTCCGGGCCAGACAGGGCTGTTCTGAGAATGCACAGCCGGGTCACGAAACTCCGGGGAAGGGTCTCCAGGATTCTGGTCACAAGCTAGGGAGGGGCTGACTCTGGGGCTGGAACTTCCCTGGGGTCCCCTCTCTCTGGGGTACCTTCTTCCTGGGGTTCCCCCCTCCCTGGGACGCCCCCTCTCCCCAGATTATCCCCTCTCTGGGGTGCCCTCTCTCCCTGGAGTGCCCTCTCTCCCTGGGATCCCCCCTCTCCCTGGGGTGCGCCCTCTCCCTGGGGCGCCCCCTCTCCCCGGGGTGCGCCCTCTCCCTGGGGTACAACCCAGGCCTGTGGCCCACTGCGAGGGACCTGCCTATCAGCGAGGCCGCCAGTGGCTGGGGGCTGTCTCCTTTCACCCTCAACAGCCCATGCGGGGCCTCCGCACCCCACGCCCGGCCGGGAGAGGGGCAGGCGCAGGCTGCGCAGTGCACGGGGGTCCGGCCTCACGCGGGACTTCTGGACCCAGGGGCCCAGAAACACTGGGTGGTGCTGAGAATCACAGGGGCCCAGGACAGGGGGCGGGGCCTGGGGGGGGCACGGGCCCGGCTGCGGCCTCAGCACGTACCTCAGGCCAGGTCCTGCCTGTACGGCGCGTGTGTCCACAGGGCTGCAGGGACACTGCGGCGCGTCCCCGTGAATGGCCAGGCGGCTCCGGTGTCTGCAGCGTCCAGGACGCTCATCTGAAGGTGAGAAAAGGCAGAGGGAAGGGTCACGGGCCAGGCTCTGGGGGTCCCGGGCGCCCTGGGCCTCCGGCCGGCACTCAGCGCGCAGGCCACCAGTGTCTGCGCGGCCAGGGGCGCGGCCATCACCAGGCGTCCCCGCAGCAGGTGCAGCAGGATGGCCCTGGCGGGCGCGCTCACCTGCAGGGGCAGAAGAGGACCCAGTGCGGTGTCCCG